TGGGTTATCTGTGCTCTTCCCACCACGGATATCGAAACCCGGATTCTAGCGTTGTAAGTCCACAGACATACCGCTGTGCTATTGGGGGGCAAAAGCTTAAGTTCCTCTTGAAATCTTGCTTCCATTTCCCACAGTTTACCCTTCTCTTTATCTACTGCCTCTACTTTAATTAAGATAGCCCTCAACTTCTCCTCCAACCTATAAACTCTACATACAAATTCACATAACTTACATGACCATTTAAATATCATATAAGTATTTTATCATAAAACTATTCCAACATTGTTCTGTCATCCTTTTAGAAAAAATTAAATTTTTAAACACAGGTAATGTAATTTTCAATATTTGGTGAGATCAAAGCTAAGATTTGAATTTGAGTACTGTACAAAGTACATCTAATTTTATATTTCTGACATTAGATGGGATGAAATATTTATAATCATTATAAAACACTATCATCTTGATTAAAAACTTCTTGATCTACAAAGAAGTCATTTAGTTTAATTCATCTTCTAACATTACTCATGTCTTATTCTATTTATAAGATGTTAGGTTTGGTATTAGTGCAATATGAAAGACTTTTTTTAAGTAAACAAGTTTTATTATTATTCATTAAAACATTGCAAATGTTCAGTAACATAAGATTATACAACTGGTCCATCTCTGTGATCTTTATATATTGGTCATTCTCTTTGACATTTACAAAGCTAGTACATTGATCATCTGGTATCTTCTTCCATTTTCTGATTGACAGATGATCATAAAATTTCTGTTTTCTACTTCTACTTCTCTATCTAAGTGTATTTGAATTGTAATTTTAATGTTCATACTAAGATGTACCTATGAAATGCTTCTAATAATTAATATTTTAGAAATTATACTTCTTGTTTTCAATTTGGTTATAATATATAGTCTTTTTCCGATTGGCAGGTGTTCATAAAAATTTATTTGTTTTCCACTTCTGGTTCTCCATCTGGGGGTATTTTAACTGTTATTGTAATGATCCTACTACAAGTTATCTCTGAAATGCTTCCAATAATTACTATATTACTAGTAATATCCTCTTGTTTTCCATGTAATTACAATATCCAATCTCTTTTGACCGTTCTGTTTAATGGGTTGATAATTCACTCCATGAGTAACTCTTAATTTCTCAAATTCTTCAGGGTTATATTCGTGTGCATAATATTTTCTCTCAAAGACCTAATATACTAATTTTTCTTGTTCCAAGATGATTCACTAATTTTTTCTTCTTTACAGTTTTCTTATAAATTCTTCAGCTTTATTTTCTTGTTAGTTAACTAAATGTTTTAATTTCATTAAGTGGAATATTCCTTCTTGTTAGGCAAAAGTAATTGTACAAATTGTTAGTTAATATGAAAAAAAAAAAAAGAGATCAATCTAAATGAATTAAATTTCTTTATTAACCTGAAATTATCCAGAAAACTTAACAGACAATATTTTGCATTATTGGCTTGCATTCTTTTTCACCCTGTGCTGTGAACAGAAAGTTCTGTCTGCTAGAATACTCAATATTCATTATTGATTTCATTCAATACAGATGTTATACTATTTGTTTTAAATGTGTTAGTATTTGTATTGGAAAAAGAACATTAGCTCAAACTTTATAAATGTCAATACACTTGTATCTTTCTGTTCATGGAACCAGTTATCTTAAGGATGTATAAGAAGCACCAGATGCTTTTTGTGTGTTGAAATTAAAATGCCGCATTAGAAAATGTCAGTGATGTACACAGAGCTATACATTCAAAAGTAATAAATGTTTGCAATGAATAAGTACCACAGATGTACATATGACGTACACACCCATATGAATATGATGAAAATGAAAACTTAAAATATCACCAATGGCCTGAAGTTAAGAGAAAAAAAATAAGTCTCACCTAAATGTAGTCAATAATCTTCGCAACTCACCGGTAACATCAAAAACACTAATTCCTAATACAGAGAGTAATTCTGAAAGTCTGGAAAAGATATAATAAATTTATTATTAAGCTAGTAAAATCATGATTTTAGTTTTTTCCCCAACATTTTAACAGACGTTTTGTTTTGTTTTCTGGGGATATGGATCACATTTTGTTTTAAACGCAAAAGAAGTCTGGTTAATGTCTAGTTTTTAATCTTTGCATTTGCTACGAAACAAACAATATTTATTTTGTTTTTACTAGTTACCTTTATTGCAATTGACTAATGACAATCAACAGGCATAGAATCAAACCAGTTGTGCAAATGATCAGATAAATATTTAAAGTTTAAAAACTTTAATATTAAAACAGAAGTTATACCAAAATAAGAATAAACAGATTTGATCACTTCTTAATATTTTTAAGACTTACGAGTGTTGTAGACGATCAAGAACGATTTTTCTTCTTAGAAAATTCACATTATATTTATCCAATGCAGGCAGCACAGGCTCTGCTTTGTTTAATGAACCTACATCTGTAACTGCTTCCTGTAAAATAAAACAAGCACATTCTCATATGTGTTCTACGGTAAATAATATATATTTTAATCAGACAGACAATTTGTTATTGTTACATGTAATTTTCTTGATAAATTAATAGTAGCCCAATAGAACTTCAGAAAAATATCGAACTATAAAACACAATATCATGCATGGAAAAAAAGAACGTTAGTGAATATATTTGCTGAACATAAGCCAACTGAAAATTATAATTAAAGCCACAAACAAGGTAACTTTAAAGAAAGTTATTCAGAATTCAGCAATAGTAATATTTAGCCTTAAGCATGAAACTGGGATGTTGATGTTTGCCATACAGCTACACTTGCATGGGGAGTGGACCCATTTTTGGAGTTAATCACAGTGTGGACTCTCTTACACTTCTCAACAACCACTGGTACATATCTAGTGGAATAGACTGTTACTACTCTCACAAAGCTTCCCTTATATGTAACGAAACTGTGATAACTGTTTCTCAGGTAGTATTTCAGAATATCCTAGGGTGGTTCAAGGGAATTCAGACTGGTGTTTTTAAACTAGTTAAGGCAGCTTCTAGAAATAATTCATCTCAAACTATTGCAGGACATGAAGTGTGGTATAGAATGGTGCATTATCATGATTACGGAAGTATAGTGCATTACTAAAGAATAGCATCAATGCAGACTGATATCCATATAAGCACACTAAGTAGTCTTTCATTTCTTCAGAACATAACTGGATTTGTGATTGAGTAGGCTGGGCTAACTACAAACTGAAAGGAGGAGATTTTTTAATAATTTTGGTAATATACTAAATGCAATACCTAAAATATAATGTAAGTAGACAACTACAGTCCATGATGCCACGTTCAGTTTAGTTTTTATTGCAAAAGGCTCCATCATAAGGCTATTGTATCTTAAGCACATCACTCCTCCTTGTAGGCTTTCCATAAGCAATCTAGTGCATAGGAGGATGGTTTCCCAGTGCCCATTTCCACAGCCCTTTGCAGAGAAAGCCATAGTCATAATGTATGGTGATTTGACTAATTTGTCTTCATATGGAATACCATGAATACCTGTTTCATTCTCCTGTTTCTGAAGGTATGTAACAGTTGAATACATGTGTTGTGGAAGCTACACGTGACTTAAGTACCTTTTTGAGATGAAGATCCTCCTTGATTATGTTACGTACTATAGTTCGAGGCACATGGATGGCTTTTGCCACTAACCTTTGTGTTCGTGGATTCTCATGTATTAAAAGACTGCATTTTATTTACCATGGGTAAGGTACAGCTTTTGCAAGCCTGTTTCTGGATGGTCCTGGTGCCCCAAATTGATCCACATTCTTTTTGTTTTTGAATACTATTAAGTAAGTACAATGGACATCCCCATCTTGGAAATTCTAAATCCCTAATCTGAGCACATTTTTATAATCTGAGTGCACAAATATTTTGCATGGAAAGGACAATTACACACCTTTCCCTAAGTCAATCAATTTTCAGTGACATTACACTACCCATGAAATGCCAAAGATATGTCAAAATGTAGTTTTAATACATGCCACTCCATCATTATTTTATATCAGCTGTGACTGTATCATGTGACTTCCTGATTTACAAGTTCAAAGACATCTTAACATAACATATTCAACTCTCTGTACAAACCTTTGACTTATATATATATTCTAGAACTTTACATGCAATTTATACAAAGAAGTAAAAAATACTAGTACTCCAAAAAAGTATGGTTTCAATACACATACTAACTAAATAATGAGAAGCAAGCTTAAGCTTCTAACTTAATCAGATTTCTGAGAAACATTGATTTTATTTTTTAATCACAAGGGATTGTAGATGGTAAGATAACAGGCCACATAAGTACAATTTAAAGCAACTGAGATGGAATATCTAATATTGTACAACAGATTAGAGGAATATACCAATGAAATGATTTTATAATTTAACCTTTAGATGAATTAGACTTAAAAAACATACTTTCAGTCACACATAGAAAACAAGTTTTTTTTCACACACACAGTGCTCTTACATAAGTGGAGTAAATGGATATATATAGAGTATGTTTGCCAAAACTTAAAGATGTGCTGTATAATTTCTCAACACTAATAAAATAAACTATGATGCATCAATTACATAAAGAAATTATAATAGAATATTGTTTTTATGGAAATATTATTCTTAATGGTAGAAGTAACACTGTCTCTTTAGTATTAAGTATATCAAAGAATCTTCTCAAGAACTCAATAAAACCAGAGATTATTTTTGATGCATTGTTTCTAAGATATCAATAGTCATTATTTTACTGTTCCTAAATTGTTGAAGAATTAATTATAACTGTATAATATTTTGTGTGTGCACACATATGCAGTAACTATCACATAATTCTCAATTCAGATGTAGTCTCTCCTGGTTGAAGAACTGGACTTTATTTCATATATTAACAATCATACACTAAGCAGTCTCAAAATATTAGCAATCCCTGTCAAGGCAAAAAGTTATTTTTATTTCCATCACTCATACATTAAAACAAATTATTTGAAATTTCCTCCAGTTTTGTATTTAATTCATTTCCCTGTTTCCTGAAAATAAGCGAAGATCACAAAAATCAATTAAAGTATTTATATGCATAAGAATTCTATTATTTTCTTAAAATGTAAAACAAAGTAATTAATAAAACTTTTATTCATGGACTTAACACAAATATAACAGATCCATACATATAATGACAAAAAGAATACAAAAGGGGTACTTATAATGAGTAGACAAACCAAGTGAAAACTAAAACATGAAAATAATGTGCTGAGAAATTTAAATACGACTTTCTTAAATGTAAACACATTTCTAATTATGAATCTCAAGCAATATTTAAAATAAATTACATTGTATATCATATATCTGACTCAATCAGAAAAAAGCATTAATAATACTAAATGAACTAAGATAAATATGTATTTACTTATAAATGACTATCATATCATCTATTTTAGAATATAGTACAACACTCACTTCTTTTGTTTTTTCAACTCCACTGTTACTGTTATTATTTTTCTGCTTATTTGCTGTGACATTCTTCTGTGATTTTTTTCTCAATTTCTTTTCATCATCCTGTGAGTATTCAACATCTAACTTCCCCTGGAAATATCCATAAACCTTCATGTTAAAAAGTTCAGCATCTTCATGCAGCTTTTTCATGGATGGGATTTTACCCTGCACTTTTTTTTTCATCACTGTCTTCCTTCAAGTACTCAGCATCTAATTCATTCTCAATTTGTTCATTTATTTCAAGCTTGTGACAGAGATGAAGATATTTTAACCTCATTTGCTCTTTTTTTTCCTGGTCATAATAATCATTGGTCAAACAACCTTGATCAGATTGAAATTCATCTAGAATATGATGAAATTTTTCTTTTCCCAATAAATTTTCTAAAGTTTTTGGAGTTACCCACTCCACTAAGGTTTTTTCTATTGCTGTAATAGGATCTAAAAGCAAGTGGGAATTATCATCCCTTTCTGAAGATGAGAGAGTTTCTTTCAATGATGAACGTGGAAGTGGTTCAGTAGGAATGCAGTTTTCAGCCGAGTTAATGGATAATTCTTCCAAATATGATTCATTCATTTCTGTTTTATCAGAAGTGGCTTGTTTAGTCCACACTGTATTATCAGAGGTGGATGTTTCAGCTACTCTTACATCAGATGTAGTTGAGATAGTCAGACTTTCACTTTGATTCTCATAACTATTTGTATCACCAGGGTTTTGCATATTGTTATTTTTAAAAGATTCATTAACTGGATTTATATCTTCAAGATTTTCTTTGCTTCCATCATCTGATGGACATGACTCTGACTTTTCAAATGCACTCTTTGAAGCCCTTGAAGAGCTTGGCTCCAACAAACTCAGAGGAGACAAGTTTAATGGATTAGAGCAAACATCTACAAACTGATTCATAGAAGTACTTTTTTTTACTTCTTGAGACTGGTTTTCATTTATAATTTCATCTTGAGACTTTCCTTCTCCTAATAAATCTTCCTGTAACCTGACAAAAATAATATTTCAGCTATAATTACTTTACTATATTCACTGTCAATAATAAGAATGCTAGAAAGAAAAGGAACAAGAGTTGTGGGCTTTTATGACACCTTTTCATGAATTAATGGCAAACATATATAATTTTTGAGCAATTTCAAGAGATTAACATAATTTTCAACATGCTGGGAATATTAAAGTAAATAATAAACTGTAATGATTAATAGTTTGAGGCCCCCTCTTACATCAGATGTAGTTGATATAGTCAGTACTCCACTTTGATTCTCACAGCTATTTGTATCACCCATTAAAGTTTTAGCTTAAATGCATGAGCAAATAGAGAAAGGGCTTGGGTGTAGGAGCCATTACAATCACAAATGAAAGTAACATTTAATACTATGTTTAGCACAAGCCCTTTGGATAAACAGTTCCTATGATTTGGCCATTTCATATTTTATGAAATCTAATCACCTAAATTCAGCAGGTATATATATATATATATGGATAATGATGCACACACATGCCATACCACCATCCCCATGAAGGCACTGAAATAAATATAGAGCAAGTATTGCTGCTACTAACTAAATAAATTAGCTTTATATGCCTAAACTAATATTTATATTTTATTTTTATATTTTTGCTAAACTATGGTTAATTCAATTGGAAATAACTGTAACCACACATGTTTCTCAAGTTATCTACTTAATGAGAAAAATATATAAGCAAATCATAATTACACAAACACATTATATATATATATCTGGGTGTGTAAGTTAGAGATAACATGGGACCTTGTTATACTAAATTCTAAAATAAAATCAGCCAGCCCTTATCATTAAAATAATTACCAAGCCTTCCTTTAAATCAACCACATTTAAATGCAACCCATTCTAAAGGCTAACCATCCTGTTAGTAAAATAAAGCTGTCTTAGCTGAAGATGATTCCTACCTTACCAAAACTGTTGTCTCCTAGCCTTATCATTCTCACCATTAAGTATGAAAAAGGATGATGGATCAACACTATCAATTCCCTTAACAATCTTGAACACCTCAATCAGATTCCTTATTTTTTCAAGAGAAAACTATTTCAGAAATCTTAACCTATATTCTTATTAAAACCTTTCCCTCCCAGGTATCATCCTAGTAGCCCTCCTCTGAATATTTTTCAGCAATTCAATGTCGTTTCTAGGTTAAGGAACTGAACCCAAGACTAAACACTACTCCAAATGTGGCCTAATCAATGCCATATAAAACAGCATTATAATCTGTTTAAAAATGTTTTAAATATATCTGTAGATCACGCCTAACAAAATAATTAATTCCTTTAACACTCAAACTGTTAATTTATATTAGAATAAAAGAAAGTAGTGACCAATAACCACTGTAGACTTGCCTAAATTTTTAATATTCTCTAATTAAAATTTTATTGTATGTACTTACTTTTCTGATTTACCATCTTTGTCCACAGCAGAAGCCTTCTTATCACTAGAACTGTGTTCTTTCACATTGACACTGAGTTTGTCCAAGTGGGATGCAAGTTTTTCCAAGTCTTGTTTACTCACATAGGGTCCTTGACTTCTTGTCTTTTGAAATACAGGTTCTTTCTTTGGCAAACTTGTAACTTCTTTCATAGTCACTCTGTTATAACCAAGGTCAACCTCATCTCCTGCTCTTCCACTATAAAAGTTATATATGAATTCTGAATTTTTCATAAAGATTGCATTTCATGGATTAAAAAAAAATGTCCTTAAGAGATATGCATTTATGTTACACATTTATATTTGTCTAATGTTTAGCAATCAAAATACACCCAGAAGTCCAGCAAGTTAAGAATGAGAAACTTAAATGAGAAACCTAATGCTTAATAATAATTGTTACTTTTTTCATTCTAATGCAACAAGGATTAAAATCAAATTATAAAAAGCCAAACCTCACCATAAAAAAACAACCAGCCCTAAACTTATCATTTTACAGTTTGGTATAATAATAACAATGATAATAAGCTATAGAAGACTTAAAAAACTTATAATTACAAAAATTGACCTTAGGTTTTACAAATTATATACAGTCAGAGCCCCAGTTTTATGTGGCAAAAAATTAAAATTATGTACTCAATAATCTGAAATTCTGCATCATAAACTAATTGATTATACAAACCTTACCTAAAGAAAAAACAGTTTAAAATCATAAAAATTATATCTTAAGAAGATGTTAAGATATAATTGATGCAATTCCTCCATCAACAGTAATGTAACACAATTTTTTTTTCAAATAACAATAACAAACACACTTTTAGACTATAATTTCTTTTCAGGCACATAGTTGGTTGGTTGTTTCACGTTTTATAGTGCAAAACAACTAGGCTACACGTGCCCAGACACATAGTGCTACTATATTAAGAGTAAATAATTACCATCACAGTTCCAGAAATGTTCAGCTACATTAGAGGACATTATGTTACCATGTCTATGTTCTGATATCACATACATAAACAACCCAAAAATGTACTTAAAAGCAGTAACAGTTGTTAGAGGTCATGACCCTATCATTATTGACAGAGCTTTCCAGAAAATGAACGACAAACACCTACAAATGAAATACGCAGGATGAACTCCAATAAAATCATCACAAGATAAGTTCATTACTATACCACTTCTTCCCGTGATTTCCGGAAAAATTGCTAAAACATTCCAATTAAAGGGTCATAAAGTGGCATTCATTCCTTAAAAAAAATTTATAACTATTTACAAACACCCAAATATTCAAAAAAGAATGATGATAAAGATGGCATTTACCAAATCAGTTGCAGTTGCAATAAAATGTACATAGGACAAACAAGAAGGAAATTAAATATGAAAATAAAAGAACACAAGTTTGACAAAAAATATGGTAACACAATGTCCTCTACTGTAGCTGATCATTCTGGAATTTTGATGATAATTACGATTGGAAAAATGTAAAGATCTTAAGAAATGCACAAACATATAAAGAACCTTAAGAGAGAATATTTGCATAATTAAAAACAGACCTGTGTGAATAAAAAAAAAGAGATGATGGGCCAATTAACATGTCCTATTGGAAGAGTTGTTTATCTTAAGTAATCCCTCATTTACAATTTACTTTCCTCTCTATCTCCTGACTTTGTTTTTAAAAATTAACTCACCCATTAACAGTTGTAGCTAAATATGTACTAATCATGATGTAACCTAGCCAGCTGTAACCTATAATAAAGATTTTACTTTTCACTGTACCAAAAGTTATAATTTTCCTATACTGAAAATGTATTTCTCATAGGTTCTTCCCTCCACTCAAAAGATTAGTTATTCTTGTCCAGTGCTGCCCTCTATATGTGATCTTTTTACTTTATGTATGTCACATGCCAACATATGAGCCTTGTCCAACCATCAAAGCAAATCATCCAACAGGGTATGAGAAAGGGTAATGGGAGCTGCCAAGAGATCCTGACCAAGGTTCTATTGATCATGAAGAGCCGATTGAAGGGATTGCATATGTGCACAACTGAGGGGGACCAGTGATGTCATTGAAGACCACATCCCCAAAAACAATATAATCTCGTGAGCAGAAAGTGAGGGAGCTGAAAGGGTGTGGCAAACTAAACAAATCCATAGAACAAAGTCGTAGAGGAGAAGGATAAGTGTAAAAAAGGGGCACTTAAATGGACAAAATAATGGGTAGGACAAAGGAAGGACTTCTCCAATTTGATTAATCAGCCCACCCAAGCAGCTGTTTGAAGGAGCTGACGAGTATGGCTGGCCGACTCCAGTTTGAAATGAGCCAAAAGAAGCCAGTCATCCATATAATAGCAGAATCACAGCCCCAGAGCATGAAGATGGTGAGCAAAAGCTCTGGCCACCATACAGAAAATATAATGGGTAGAAGCAAGCCCAAAGGGTAGGGCACAAAATTGGTAAATCACCCTTGATGGGGGAACAGAAGATACACATCAGACCGTGTTGAGACAGGGATGTATAGATAAGCATTGGCGACATCCATCTTGGTCATCTATAAGCCCATAGAAAACGCCCACCACTGGGTGAGAAATGCCTCCATGGTAAAGTAAGACAATAGAACAAATTGATTGAGAAGGGAAATATCGATGACAGGCCTCCAGTACCTGGTTGTTCTTGATAACAACAAAGAGTCTGGAATAAAAACCTGATGAAGTATGTAGAACAGGTTCAATAGCCTGCTGAGATAGTAGGTCCTGAAATGCCTCCGATAGATGCTGGCCTGTCATTGGATTCTGAAACGGAAGGAAGAAAATGGGTATAGGAGACATGGAAGGTGGGAAAAGAAACGGGATCACGAATCCTTCCTATAAAACTTGAACCCAATGAACCTTGATGAAAGGACGCCATTGATGAAGAAAATCGGCAAGTCAAGCTCCAACCAGACCAGAACCCACTGGGCAAGGTGACGTGCATCATTGAAGAAAAGGACGAGACAAGGCACCCTAAGAATGAGGGACAGGTAAGGGTTGGGAAAGAGAAGGACGGGAAACTAACAGATACCATATTGGGCTCTAACTGAGGCAAATGGGTAACAAGATTGGAAAGGGTAGACTGTTGTTGTACTGATGCAACTCATGAATCCAAGGACTCAGGGATCATGTAAAATACGTAACACCGCAGAAATGGGGCCCATACATAAATCCTGAAGATAAGATACTGGTAAATGGACACAAGGTAAGGTCGCATCATGACCTAGAATGTCCCAACAACAAAGAAACCATGTATGCAAAGTCAGAGCCAAAGTCGATAAATGAGCCAACGTGAACGAAAAAAGGGAGAGAATGTCACCAGAAAACACTCAAGATTTCGGTGGAGAGCCTCAGAGAGAAGATGGATGGTAGAAAGATACCGTAAGAGAGTTCTGAGGGTAAGAGGAAGGTGGTAAAATTGAGCATGGGTCAGACTTACAGGAGCTTTGGGGACCTCCCCGAAACAGGTAAAAATAGAACCTAACAGTTGTTGGTCTAGCAAAGGACAGTCTGCACGATGATATGCAAGAACAAACTGATCTGATGCCTGTAGAGGGTGAGGCATGCTAATTCCGTCACTTAATTGTGAGGCACATTGGTCACCATGTACCCAAATATCTGTGGAGGGCGGAAACCAAATAGGGATTTGAAGATTGGTCATGTAGTAAGGAAGAACACGGTTCATGGGAAATAGGGGCAAGGGATAAAACATCACATACCTGAGAAACAAAATCCAAAAAGACCATAACAGACCTAAGTGACTCCTCATGAGGGGCATGGGAAGGCACAGCAAAATCAGGAGGTGGAAATAGACAATCCAAGTCCTCGTCAGCCTGAACGGTCTCAGCATGTTTAGGAGGAAGTTGGGAGAGGTCTGAAGACAGAGGTGACCCATGTAATGTTCAATTTCCCTGCAAATAAATGCTGATAAATCTCCTGCTGGGTTGCCCATACCTAAGGCCTGTGACATACCACTAGTTGCAGGTGTGACCCCGAAGTGGTAAGATGAACTTTGGAATTGATAATCAAGAAGAGTCAACCAAAATCGAAATTATTAATAATAATGCAACTGCAATAAACTGGGAGTAAAATAAAGTAAAGAAACAAACAGTCTTAAGAAACTAGGAAGTAATTTAAATGAAAACCACTTCGCAAATATACTAAAGTTGAACATGAAACTTGAAATAAACAAAAAACATGTTCAAGCACAAGCACTGCCAAATGAAAAAGTGATAGTTTGGTAGAGCCATATAGAGGATGTCACATGCATCACGTATGTCATGCTCCTGTTGGTGGAGAAGTGACGTATGATGATTTGCATGAGAGACATGTTGGAATCATCTGATTTCAATAGGGGGGAGCAGAAGGCTTGTGGCATGCGTAAAAGAACAAATTCACATATAGAGGGCAGCATTGGATGAGAAGAGCTAGGATGGAAGTACCGTATAGGAAAACATCAGTTTTATGTTTTTTTGCTCTGAACACTTTTAGACTTGAAAGTCCTTTGACATACCATTAATCAGACTGTCTGGCCAGTAGACACTACTTTCCAAGCAACAAGAAGTCATAACTAAGTCAAAAGTTATAAATCTGGTGACAGTGACTTAGACTTCATTTTACTAAGTTTAAAAATTCAGAATTTCACAATGAAGTTAACCACTGATAATGTTATATGTAAATAATGACAAAAAAGTCAAGACCAGGTAATCAAGTAAAACTTGGGGCCCTGTACAGTACAAGAATACCGTCTAACAGGTCTTCTAGGTTGTAAAGAGATTACCTTCTGTTACTAGTACATAGTAATGTGACTTTTATCTCTTTCTCATCCTCCCTCAGCCATATTGGAGATGTTGAAAGCTGTTGTTTGAAATATTTGGATGCTTTGAAGCACTGATTGCTACAAAATTGCTGGAAAAAAATTACTCATGTCAGAAATTTAATGTTAAAATTTTTAAATGATAAATAGAAAACTTATGTGCACATGCATATATATGCTGATTAAAATTGATATACTTTAATGTTAACATTTTCCTTAACTGAAAATGTATTCCACATACATACCTCTGTGCACTACTAAGATCTATTACTTAATGCACAACTTCAGTGAAGTTTCCTGTGCATGCCACAAGCCTTGAACACTCCCAACCTCTACTCATGTTTACCTGTATTGTGTCAGCTTATAACATAATCATCATAATTCTGTAGCCCTCCACCAATAGGCAAGAGGTACAATCAAGTGTGATAATCACTGTGAACACTAGCACATGGTCAGAGGCTCATTCTTGAGAAGGCAAATAAAATACACTAGTAGAGCAAAGAATATCTGGAAAATACAGTACTGCTGGTTAGGTATTGCCAAGGTTGGTGAAACATTACAAAATGTAGTGTGATTAGGGCTTTAGGCCATTCCATTTTGGTCAGAGACTTACATGAGATAGATACTATAATGACAGGTGGAGAGAAGAGGAGCCCCCACCCATGCTCTAAGACAAATCCAAGTCTCATCCAGCTTGACATATCCACCTGGAAATGTTTGGGAAATATCATAATGGGGTGTCCTGTACTACACTTTCAGAAAACACCAAGACCCTACCAAAGTGGAAGAGGGGAGGAATATGAGTTGGGGAAAACATCAGAGAGTATCATTAGACAATCAACTGTAATTGAATCCCCACTGAGAGACAATGCAATGGGTTACTACAACTAATGACAGCAAGTGTGAGCCAGGTATAATGGCAGGATTACACCTCATGCTGTCTGTTTTTGTTTTTATAAAAGGTGTAGAAATGGGCATGTCCATTACAGATATATACTGTCAAAGCAGTCTTGCAGAAAACCCCATTTCAGCACTGGGCAGGGATGGATGAGTTTAAAGCTTTCCATTCTCCCTCACTCAATGCAGATTTTAGGTAAGTATTTCCTGTGACTAAACTACTTAGCAGGTTCAGATGGCATCAAGCACAAGTAAAGTAGGGTGTAGTTCCTCTTGTAATATTTGATCTGGTAAGTCTTGCCTTTCCAGATTATTTTTTTTTCTTGTTGTTAAACTTGCAATGTGTTGGAATGCATTCAAAAACTACAGTACACACATGAAGATGCCATGAAAAGTAGGAAAGAAATGGAGATGACTGAATAACAAAACAGGCAAAACTCACCTCCCTACACCCTCTGGGTAAACTGGAGGAAGGTGAAAACCAGAGGCAAAGGAAACTGCCCAACAACGTAAGCAATTGGAGACAAATATGTTAGGTGTAGTCCATACACCAGCCTGTAAGACTTCCCCAAAGACCAGTGACATATAGAGGAAAGAAAGGTTGTGACATGCCAAAACTGGTGGGAGGAGACATGAAAAAGAATATGGTCAGATTCACCCAAAGGAGAATATGTGAAACGGATGAGACAGTAAACCTTACCAGTTAAAGTGGAAGGGAACAAGCCGTGAGGGAAGGAGGTCTACCATGGTAAAAGTGGACAACAGTGGTTTCCATAAAAATGGTTAGTCTGAGTGAGACAGCAAGGGACAATCCGTGCAGGACAGAATGATGGTACAATGATGTAGGGAGAGATGATAGAAAACATACAATTGCCCTCTTGAGCAGTCCAAGTCTTTGTGAAAAAGAGTGAAATGGAAACAATATCAACCAGTCCAACCACACAGAGGTCCCAAAAGAGGGAGAGGGACCAAATTGGGGGAGGGCAAAAAGAAGGTATTATAATCTGGACAATACTTCATTGTAACCTACATTGTACAAAATAGACAGAACATAGATGAAAAGCCAGGTAAAGAAGAAAGTAAGATATGAAGGAGTAGGATGACTTGGCTGAAGAGAGTGGTGGAAGGACCATGGCAATAGATGGGCCATGTATGCGGACACAGGGTGAAAGTAAACTGTTGAGAAGAGTATGACATAAAACTGACTACTCTGAGGGAAATCCCCATGTTTCACACAATGGACCCAGCAAATCCCACATGTGAAGACAAAGGTACAACACCCTGTTATGAAAAATGGATGACTGAGGAAAGACCTCTAAAGAGGAAGCTGCAGAAGCATCAAAATGGGAAAAAATCCAATGAAAAACCAAAAGATGTAACAACCAATCCATGAAATGGATTCCATCAAAGCAACAGAAGTGATCCACCAAAGATACAAATCCAAGGGACATAACATGTCTTAACGTAAATATGATGATTGTAGGCTCAATAAAGGAAGTCCAGAGTGAGAAAGCACAGGTAAGGAGCGTGTAAGTTTTCCTGGCAATTGATTGAAGTAATAACAGTAGTTGTATGAGTAGATCATCACAAGATGACCAAACAACAGGAACTGAAGAGAGCAAGCTTAATAAGCCACAGTCATCTCCATAAAGTTGATATGCAGAGAATGCTCCTCTAGAAACCAGTCTTTGGAGAAAATGGTATTGTTGAGAACTGCCCCTAACTAGAAAGAGAGGCATCAGTGGAAAAATTCAAGACAGGGTAAGAATGGGGAGTAGTATATCCTGGGTTGGGTTGTACCAATTGAGCCACCACAAGAGAGATATGTAGAGAGAAAGGCAAAGACATAAAGTTAAATAAGGGAATGCAGAACATATTCCAAAGATCCACCAGAGCCCACTGACCGTGAGGAATCAGGGCTCCTAAGGGAAGCAAGAGCTTCCATAATTGAAAAAGAAGTGCTCTGGATACCATAAATATCCATGGTGTAAATACACAAAGGAGGGGGTTGAGCCTGCCCCATGCAGAAGTTGATTTGTTTGTTTATAGTTAAGCACAAAGCTACACAAAGGGCTATCTTTGCTCTGCCCACCACAAGTATCAAAACCCAGTTTCTAGCATTGTAAGTCTGCAGACATATCACTATTCCACTGGGAGGCTGCAGAAGTTGTAGAAAACACCCAGATGGAAAAAAACTCTATAAGAATCAAAACAGACTTGAAAAGATAGACCAGCCCACCTAGAGTGGAAGAAAAGTGGAGGTAGGAATTGCCAATCTCTGTCAAGGCAGGGTCAGAAGAAGCCAGCCAATCATATAATAACAGAAATGAAAGCCCAAAAAATTCATGTGCCAAGCAAAGGAACACCTCATCTGGCTAAAAACATAATGACCTTAGTTAGACCAAAGGGAAAGGCAAAGAATAAAACTGAAAGACAACCACTGAGAGCAAACCAGAAGAATGATACAACACACGAAAAATAGGAATGTGAAAGAAGGCATTTGAAATTTCTATGTTGATTACACACAGCCTGGTAGAGAAGACCCAATGCAGACTAAAAAGTCATCCACCTGGAATATAGAAATAATGAGAAAGTGATTAAGAGACAAAATGTCAGTGGCAGGGTGCCAAACCCACGATTTTATGGGGATGACAAAAGGACAGGAATAAAAGCCATGAGTAAGGTGGGAAATAAGTTCTATGTCTACTGCCACTAACAAAGAGGCAACCACATTTTGAAGATGATAAGGATACAGAGGTTTGGTGGAAAGACAATAGGAAAGAGGACAATCAGAAAGATGAGAGAGAGAAGCAATGAGAAAGAGCTTGTAATACCCCAAGATCATTGGAGAAGGAAAAACATAAAAGGGTAAAATGATAGGATCAGAGCACAAGACTGGTTCCAAAGAAGAGTCACTACTGAGAGCCACAACAGGTAGCCATGCAGGAGGGATGACAAAGGACAGAAGTAAGAGAACAAGGAACAGGAGAGAGGTAGCTCAACATGACTTCTAATGATGGGTGGCAGACAGAGGTACCCGTGAACCAGTGAGCTGGACAATCAAGGATATAGAAGATTGCAGTTGAGTAGCCTAAGCCCAGGATTCCAAAGAGTCAGGAACACCCCCAAAGACCAGGTCTATAAGCAAATGGGTGGGACAAAAGGCTGGATATAAGAAAAGGGATATGGACACTTGACTGAAGAATTCCCCAAAACAAAAAAACCAGGTCAAAACTGAGATAGGAAAAGAAAATATGGAAACTATATTGGCAAACAAAGAAGAATAGGTGTCTTCATCAAAACAACAAATAGTAATGAACAGCCTCAGCAAGGAGTGAAGAGCGGAGATAGAGTAAAGGAGTAGGGTAAAGATAGACAAAGCAAAACAGATTGCCAAAAAAAAAGCCAAAGAAGGAAAAAGAGGAGCACCCCAAATAAAAAGAAAAGATGCAAAAGACTGAGGATCAAGAAACACAAAAGGGCCATGACCTGAGATTATAGCAAAGGATTCACAAAGACAAATAGGACAAGAAAAATGTGGGACAATGCAGAGTTGGGTCAGGAGGAAGTACCTGAAGTTTAAAAACCAAAGAGACATTATGAATATACATGTAAAAAACAGTATCACATACCTGATTCATTAGCATAGTAAACGAAAAAGAAGAAAGTAACTATTCTTCATCAGGGAGAGAAGAAACAATGGCTGAATGTGGAAGAGCTTACCAAAATTATCATCCATAGGTGAGGCAGGTTCCATAGATGACAAAGAAACAAAACTATAAAGGACCTGAAATGGAGAAGAAATAGGCAGAATGGAAGGAATGGAACCAACAACCTGGTGCATGAAAGCTAGAACAAGATCAATTAAATTTAGGGTACACCAAGGTTCATCAGCTCAATAAGATTGTAGAAGCTAAGTTATCCATGACATTGAATGTATCTCACCATGAAATGAAACCTGATACCTTTCATATACAAGCATATGCTCTAGTAGTGAGCTACAGGGATAACAACTGATTGTCTGGTCCATGAACAGATGAAGCACCTCCAGTCACTATTGAATCAGTTGGAGAAAATGACTAAAATGTAAAGTCTGGGCCTCAGGACCTTAAATATATATATTTTACTTTGCATAAATTGTTGAAGTAGCCAAAAGCAGAAATGTGATAGCTGGAGAAAATTAAGATGCAATCAGTTAGAAGGAACAAAATTGCAACAAGGAGAAAAGCAATGTAGTGCTAAATGGTAGTCAATTAAGTTGACTAGAAACTCAAAAACAGAAAAATCACTCTTGGCAGTGCCAAGGAAAGAATGACCCTATGATCATGTGCTAGTAGTCACAGGGATTACCATGCAGAGAGGTTATGTAACCCTTCACCAATACTTCATATGCTGGTGCAATACACATACAGACATGTAGGGATGGAAGTTTGTTCAAGACCCGTGGCATGTGCAGGAAATTCCACAGCAGCTGTGCATGGGGTAATAGAGGTTTGTGGTGCAGAGAGGTAAATAATAACATTCTGAATTTGTTTCTCATTTTATAATTTATTAATTAATTATTAAATTCAAAGAGATAAAGTCAGTTTGCAAGAACATGTTGTGAAGTAAAAACATTACATTTTATCAGCATCTGCAATTTTAGAAAAGATAATAAAAAATAAAACAAATAAAAAAAAATTTATAAAAGCTGTTCACTTTTACAGTGAATAAGAAATATCAAAATATATTGAAGTGTAAACGGATTATACATCTGCAATTTAGATAACTTTGCAGCTCAGAACTAAAATAATGCAAAGTAGCATATACATTAATGAAGACAATCTGGTACACCAGAAAATTCAAATGTATAAGGATAGAACTGCATTGAACCATCAGCTGGTACAGTAGCACTACTACTGGTATAAGTGGCAATATGAATATCCGTATGCTTTCAGGAGCAGTAACTTTATTTTTTTTTGAAGTATTGTTTTAGATATAATAATTTTCAGGAAATAATGAATGTAAACATGAACAACCATTTTTAATTATCCAGGTTCCAGAAATAAATATTCAAGAATCTTAATATTTTCCTACCCAACTCTTTTATTTTAACTGCCACTACACTTACAGGTGTTTATTAGAAAGTTTGCGATCTTTATACACTTTCAAAAATTAGAAAATGTTTTGCTGATAATTAAAAAACATTATCATGAACATTATGGTTAAACCACTGCACTAAACTCCTGAAAGTTTAAAGTTGAGATGTGTCACTGCAGATCAGCTTGTAACTAAACCCATTTGCCACTTCATAATTACAGTAGATGATTTTTTCATATTCGTGCATTTTTTCAATAGTTCACTTTCAAGGCATGGAAGCATCTGTACAGATAGAGGATTACTTGAAATAATGGCAGATAAACATTAAAGAATTATTAATGAAGGCAAGAAACTTACAAGAAGAAAATACTGTCATGTTCCACTATGCTATACTCCATTGAAAAAAATAATCCTGATGTAATATTTCACACAATGAAAAATAGAAGTGGCAAAATATTCAAAAAGGAAAGACACAGAGCAAACATGCTAAAATTTGCTCAAAGCATTTTTTTAGATAATAATTTTCTATTATATATTAATGGCATGAATACTGTTAATTCTTTTATTCAAAATTATGTTATGAATACTGATTGTTTAAAACTGTAAGCCAATCAGTATCAGATGTGTCAATGTTACTAATACAATGTATTAAAATATCAGTTTAAACATTTTGAACATAAGAATTTTTTCTCTATTAAGAAATTGAATCATATGCTATATGAAAACTAAAAAGTTATATTTGACATAAACTCTTGATGTTTCAAAAATAATTTCTTATAGTTATAAATGCTTATAATAAAATATTTGAGGAGAAAGCCCATGCTTTTCACACAAAACATTTTGTGGTTGTGGTATTTTGTATTTGAATACACAAACTATATAAAATGTAAAGGCAATGTTGTGTATTTAAAGTATTTAAAACAGTTAAGTGACCTGCCTAGACTATTCAGGTATGATGTTAGATACGTAGAGTTCTGAATGAATCTGATGGCTGAGTAAGGCATCTTAATGGCTGCAAGGTTAAACCTCTTCCACAACACACAATACCCAACAAACACATCTATTTCAAATGACACTTTGAGCCAAATGGTGCAATCTAAAATGTCTGGTAAGGGACACCAGATCTAGCATCACTTTCAAAACCTGTATATCAAAGACAAGTATTTAAACTCAACAGAGTGATGGTACCAGAACTCCAAGTCTCTATAAAGAAATGAAGACATTCACACACAAATCTTAACACATAAACACTGCTGTCTGTGATGGGGCTTTGAGGGATGACAGATCCATTCCCCAAATATTTTTCCCTTTGCAATGCATAGTACTATCTACACCCACCTTTCTTTTATGCATATGGTGATGTCATCTGCATTTCCCTACTCCAAATTTCATTTTTGTATAGTTTAAAGAATTTTAAAAAGCTTACCATGTAATATGATGTTCTTTGTACTTCCCTATTTTTAATTTCATTTTTGCATAATTTATGAAGTTTAAAGAGCTTCTCACACATGCACACACATTATTATTATAATTGTATAGATATAACCTATATAACTGCACTTTAAGAATTAAAAACAAATATGTTGTGCCAACTTTCAATCTCTTCATTAAACAAAAGGTTGGGAGGCTGGCACAGATAGTCATTCAATTCAATCAACTAGCACAACTACTATGCAGAAAACAGTTAACATACTGTGACTTACTGTTCTATGAGGAGTCCATTATTATCTGAAATGCCATTAAAGATCATTATGGTTTATAGGATAAATTCACTAATAAACTGAATTATTCTAATAAAGTTTATCTTTTAAAAAGGCAATACAAGATGAATGTGCTAAGCTATTATACTGGTTTGTTTTATTTACCAGCTTAAAAATAGCAGTCTGTGAAGATTACATTAAGACTACTAGTGTAGAACAAGAAAGACATAAAAGCTATTTACTTTTCATGCTATTGTACCCACATGTCAATATTTTGCAGTAATTCCTTTCTATTTCCTGTTGTTTTAGATCTCAGAATTTGTCATTTTTCTTTAACATCTTTTAACGTCAATTTGTTTTCAGTTTCTGTAGCTGCTGTAATCAAGTATGTCAAACAAGCGTATACACACATATGATGAAATTACAGGATGAAAGTCACCTATTATAGGCCTAAAGATAAATCAATTTAATAGTTGTATATAAAATTCATTCTACTTGTGTGTCTTTTTTGTTATGTTTTAAGTAAATATGCTTCTCTTTTAAGATTCTTACTTATCCTAACAACATGGTAATAGTATTAGAAATCATTTCCCAATCTCATATCACAATAATGTTGAAGATACTAAAAGCAATAACAAAACTAAAGCCAATTTTACTTTGGGATAAAAATATTTATCTAAACTTAAGTCATAATGAAACTAACTTTGCTAGCTTAAGTAATTTTGCAAAATGCAGGCAGGTTTTTTTGTAACAGGTTATGGACAAAAATGAAACATTCTAACAATGATCATGGACATAGTCAAGAGGAAACCCATGAGTGTTGCAAAATATGGATGTTTATATACAGAAAAATCTTACAAAATACACACACACACAATTATATATACATAAAAAAATTACCTTTCTCTCTGTTATGTCATATACTTTTTTTGTCCTCAACGAAATGTGGTATCTTTGTGATGGAAGCTATATTTAAAAACAAAAGCTATAAAGTTTAATTCTGCAAAACAAACATGGGATACTTTTGATTATTCCTTAACAATAAATGCATCTTTAATGTAAAGTAGAGAATTTAATACATTTTGTACAGACATATTTAGCTGACTTTACTTACTTCAGAAAGAAACAAAAAATTAAGAAATCAATAATTTAATGGTGCACTAAATAAACTTAACTTTCAAGTATAAAAAAAGCATTCTACAAAGTAGTAAAAATATAGGATAAAGAAAATGAAACAGATAAACTTGCATCTATAATATTTTAGCACCTTCATTCAGTCTTTTATTTTGTATATGCTTAAAAAATAACATACTTTCATACAGTTATGATCTTGTGCTGCAGTAACTTTTGAATATATTTAGTATTTTAACATTCCAATTATTACTCCATGTGTCTTACACTACAATTTACTAGTACATGTATGGAGAAGGTAAAAGCTAACTAATATGAACAGTCATACCTTTCCCAGCCGATTTTTACATAGAGGATAGCCACATGCTTTTGTCAATGAACGTTCCTCAGTAATATCATCATACTGTGCTTGATCAATGATGTTAGCCTATTAAAAAAATGAAAATCCTTTCATACATTTTGTCAGGAAAACAAATAACAATCAAGATAATATGCAACAGAACTGAGTGAGCACAGTATCTAAATTTGAATATCTTATCTTTCTAACAGTGTTCATTCTCAATGAATGTGTACATTTCAAAACGTGTAATGTAAACAACATGCATTTACTTTACTCTTAAAATGTCTACCCCTAGAATTCCTGATTATGCGAATCTACATCTTTCATACATACCACACCTATCAGCCATTCCTCAGACACTGTACCCTCCAATGCATCCTGCACAATCTTCAAAGCATTTTTTCTACATTCCTCTTGTTTTGATCTTGAAGCTAACATTTTTACTTCTGCAAATCAGAACAAGAACCTGAGTTGTTGTAATTTTGTTTACTTATATGATGCAAGAATAAAGTAATTTTCTTTTTATCATGAAACACAAATTCAAGATAGCTGAAATGACCAAAAATTTGAATAAAGAATCTTTATTTTACTGTAAATATTCCTAAATATGTAGCATCATGAAGGTACAGAATGAACTAAAAATAAAAGGTTTAAACATTGAGTTAAGAATAAGAAAACAAAACAAATAATGCATTTTGCTTTAAGCACTATGATTTCATAGATCCTTAGTACAAAATGACTTAGTTTCTTGATACTGCTTCTCATATATATATATATATACATGTTAAAATGACAACTGGACAGTGCTTGGTTCTAGTTAACCCAAACCCCCCCAGGTACCAAATATGCACCACAAAATGCCCCACACATAAGGCAAGCACAAGTACTTTGTTTCGAACTTTCTACCATAAGAAACTAAACAGCATAAAGTTTCCACACAGCTGCCAACAATCAATTTCTAACAGGTTTTATCAATAACAATAAATTACATGAAAGTAAAGCCAAGTTAAAATACCACATGATTAACCCTTTCACCTCAGGTAGGTCAAAGTGTGCATGTCACAACCTTTCACAGTTACAGTTAATTAAAGTACTTTGTTATCAATGTATACAAATAAACTCAGCATCAGAACATAGATAAATTACTCATTATAATGTTTTCATCACTCAGGCAAAGCACAATTTACATTGTCTTCAATGTTATTTAGTTACAGAACAACAAAATGGAAAATCAGACCCACTTACCATGCCTACTTGTCACATCCAATCTTTCACAAATTGCTAATAGTTCTCTGTGCTGTTTTATACTATAGTATTTTTAATAACTAATAGAAAGCCATAGTTTTAATCAATCATGTGATGAATTAAGTTGTTTTCTGTACAAAGGATTGTCTATTTCACTTCGAACTTTCTTCCCATGGAAACAGATTGAAGAGTTTTAACTAAATTTTTAATGACTCTTATCACATAGTCAGAGAGCAGGAAAAATTATGATGGTTATAAGAGATTGTCTGATTTTTATGTGTTATTATTCTGTTTTCTTAGGTGAATTATTTAATTAAATAGAAATGATTTAATGTAGTAGTACAATTAGTATTAAAAAAAGGGGTTAAATTTCATCAACAGTCAAGAGCAAGAAAAAAGACCCAGGTAAGTACTTTATTTCTTGTTTTTCATGTGTATTCTTTATTATTACAAAATTGAACTAAAATATAAAAACTGAAAACTTTTTAGGTTAGATAAAGTAAAATAAATAACATTATTAATATATATATATATATATTTTTATTTTAATGAGGTATACTCGCAAGTAGTCCATGTCATGTAATTCAATAACATAATGTAAACTGCATATTTGTCACATGATTTACAATTTATATGATGCAACTAATAGTCAGACACTGTTCAAGGGGAAATAAAACCATAAAATTTAAGTATAAATAGATATATATACTATTACAAGATTTAAGTAAATATAAAAGGGTATTTTACATTTTGGAAAAAAAATATATAAACAAATTACAGACTGACTGGGATGCAATAAAAATACTCTAACAAAGGATCATATAATAATTTCAGGTGAACACTTGTATTATAGTTGTTCCTGGCTAGTATCTACAAATGCCAATAATATTTTTCTACAAAGATGACAGAATTTTATGAACAACATAATATTATATGGATATGACCAATGATTCTTTAAATCTGTAGTATTCCCTGCAAACTTTAACATGTCAGCAAGTGTTGTATAACCAAGATTTGCACAGACCTTTTATTTGCAGTGCATACGGTGATCTCTGAAATTGGCTTAGTTGATTATTATATAAAACAACAATTAAGGACAACAAGGGACTGTTGGTCCATCAAGGTTGTCCCAGAAACTAAGTTCAAAACAAAAACTCATAGCCAGCTAGACCTTAAATTTATTGCATGTACCACATCTGAAAGCAACCTGTTCCAAAAAGGCAACCACTCTGTTAGAATAGTTAAATTGTCTTAGCTGAAGATGACTCCTATCCTGAAAAAATTTACGTTCCTTTGTCCTACATTTAAGCACAAAAAAAATCCTGCTTCAACACCATTAACTTAACAATCACCTCAGTCAAATATGTTCCAACTCTTCTTTCTTCAAGAGAACACAATTTCAAACATTGACCTATCCTCATATGACAACCTTTCCATCCAAGTTATCATCCTAGTGGATCACCTTTGAACTTTTTCTAATAATTCAATACTTTTGTAAAGTACAGGGCTCAAGACTGAAAACAATACTCCAAATAAGGCTTAACCAGTGATCTATAAATTGAAATTATAACCTCTTTATAGATTTACATTCAATATTTCTGTAAATAAAACCTAAAAATCCTATTTGCCCTAACATTAGTAACAGCACTGCTTGGATGGCTTAAGAGACTGATCTACCAAGATACTTTTCTTTGATAGCACTGTTAAGGTTATTTCCATCAAATTTATAATTATAACTTAAATTATGATAACCCACATGCATTAACTTGCACTTGTTGTAACTAAAACAATCTGCCATTTATTTGCCCAACTAACCAAGTAATCTAAATCCTTTTTGTAAAGCAGCAGCATCCTCCTCACAGCAAATAATACCACAGACCTTGATATCATTAGCAAATTAAAGTAATTTATTGACCAATTCTTCATCTATGTCATTAATGTACATGTAAATCAAATAAGCAAATATTCTAATAGTGAGCCCTCAGGCACTCCACTTGTGAAAATATTCCATCGTGACTGAACTCATTTATAACAATCCTCTGCTTTCTTCCATCCAGCAATTTTTCAATCCAGTGAACCAACTTATCAGGCTCACCTTTTCAAATAATTTTTTTTAAACAAGCCTTTGTCAAGCACTTTCTGAAAATCAAGATATATACCCTTAACCTAATCAACAAAAATAGTAACCTTTTCAAAGAATTTTGAAAGATTAATAAGGTAAGATTTTTCCCTAGTGAAACTATGTTGACTATCCAACAAAAATAATCTTTGTTAAGCAAATTTGCAAAACATGTTTTATCGAACTTTAAAAAACTTTTCTTAGCACTGATATAAGACTAATATGCTTATAATTACCTGGACAATTTTTATCACCTCTCTTCAAGAGGAATAACATTAGCCAGATTCCAACCTCATTCAAAACCCTTCAGGAATTATTATCTGGTCTAGGAGCCTTATCATTCCTTAAATTTCCCAATTCCTTTTTCTTAACAATCAAGCAGATCATCTAAACACTGTCTTCATCCTTAATTTTGCATGTGTTGAAGGTGTAATGCATGGTTAACCTTAGAAGATTATTAACACAAGTTATCTGAATTAGAATATCACTAATCAACATAATCAATATTCAAACCCAAGCTTGATAAAAGAATAAAACTAAAATTTGTGATAAAAGTCATGTAAACTGTAGATTTTCTTTTCAGATTCCTTTTAATTTGGATTCAAAATCAGTTGTGTGTAGAAACAGCATTTCAGATCTATCTTTTATCTCCCACAAATCACTGCCCAAGAGGCCTATTGTTTAATACCAGATCTTATCAGTTGGGATGGATGATGAGAAACAAAAGTTTCTATGATATACAATTAAAAAAACTCTGTATTCACCAATTACCACGAGTGATTTAAAAGACAAAAAAAAGAGTCCTGTATGGGATTACTTTGAAGTTATTGGTGATTTAAAATGAAGTGAAACTTGCCTAACATATTACACTAATTTCATCTGGTAGCAAACGGAAAGTTGTTTGTACATACTGTTCTACCTTAATGCACAACCACCTGAAAAACAAGCATGGTCAAAACTACAAAAATTTGCAACAAACTTTGAAGTAGACTGGATTTGATATCAAAGATGAGAGTGTGGCCTCAAGCTCCATGGTGTTTACCATAGTTACTCATGATTGTTGCTAACAAAAAACTATGGGAATCTAACATTTCCCTTACCTAAAAATGTATTTCCAATGGATACTCATTTCTTTACACAATTTAGCTATCTTCCTTGTACATCTGCTAGAGAGATTTGCGTGCCACTAGCCTTGAGGCAATTCCAACCTAATTTCACATAAATTATGCTGATGCATGATTTCATCATGTGATAAAAGCCCTCCATTAATTGGAGGGTGACACACCCCATGTGCAATAAACCCCTTATGCACTTCTACTTGTGGTAATTTCATTCTTTGATGAGGTAAAGAAAATAAAGGAGCACCAGAAGTGTGGAGAATGGGTGAGGAGGTGAGTATCTATCAGCAATACATTTTCAGGTGAGGAAAATGTTAAGTTCCGAGATGATAACTCAGCTCTTCACACAGTTTGGCTAGAATCGCACATTAAAATGGTGGAGGGGCCAGTGCAAATTTTACCTACATGAGCTACCTTCAGAAAGTGCCCAATGGCAGGGGCTTCATAGGAGCACACCCGTGGGACACCACATATTATCTTGGCCAGGGTATACTCTTTGCCTGAAAAAAAAAGGGGAAAAGAGGCAAACAGGACCTATGTGTCACAGGACCAGGCATTCTGATAGTCAATATGTGTAGTGTGGTTGGGGTGTATTCAGACCATACCTTGTGCACTCACCTCAACTCTACTATCAGATTCCACAGGACAAACTCCAGCTGTAGGAGGAGTGCACATCAGTTATATAGTACAGACTCATATAGTATGAGTGCACACCTCTATACCATTAGACTATAATGGATAGACTCCACCTGCAGGAGGAGGACACATTAGTGATACAATAAGGCTTTGTATAGTGTGTGCTCACCTCAACTCTACCATAAGACTCTCTGGAACATACTCCAGGTGCAGCAGGAGGTCACCATAGATATGTAGATTGGGTTCACAAGACAAGAAATTCATGGTGGCCACGCTGGCAATTGCCGTCGTATTTTTCAAAAATGGCCGGGGTGCCCTCAGAAAATCACTAAAATTCACTTGTGATTAAAGTTTGTTTTGCATACTGCGGTAAAGGGAGAATTATTGGGGATCACAGACACTGGACTGACAACTTACACTTGTTACAAATAATATATCTCACAAAATGGCTGTGGTGCCCTCAGAAAATCACTAAAATCCTCGGCCATGATGGCCACCGTTTGGTATCCCTCTGGTCATTGTACCCTTGTGATCAAAGTTTGCATTGCATACTGCGGTAAAGGGAGAATTATTGGGGATCACAAACATTGGACTTACAACCTACAGAAACTAACTTGTTACAAATAATATATCATACAAAATGCATGTAGTGGAGGGAGTAAAGTTTTTTCTTTGATTGGCAGTAAAACGTTTGTGCAGCTTGTTGAGTCATAACATACTGCAGCCTCTTAGTAGTAGCAAGCAATTCAAATTGCTGTTCAAACAACAAACTCACAGAGCTTACACAAAGAATCACAGCGACAGCAGTATGAAACGATCAATGTCAGCACATACACATGCTAGTCAAAGTGAAGTGCACGACTGCAAACACATCTTGCATTAAACATGGTGAAAAAGGAACTAGTTATGAGGGGGAATGACATGAAACTTGTATCTGTAGTGGCCAAGTCCCAGAAACTGAAACTGTTTTTTTTTCATTGGCAAATATGTAAATTACATCCTGATTTTTAGCAGTGGCATAGCAGCTCATAGAATGGCTCAGAGTGTTTTTGTTTTTTTCAAGTACAAACTTTTAACTCCATCATCTATTGACCAATTTGAGATCTAATTACAGTTTAGGACTCAGGAGGTTAAACCCTTTCAATTGATGCATTTGACCACACCCATGGTCTCCTAGATTAATTTACTCTAATCCTGCCTAAAAGAATTTCAATTTGAGGGTAGGTTGGAATAAATACTGATGAGTAATAAAATTGAATCAAATATATGCACACCCCACGCTTGGTATTGCTGGCACACAAAAATATAGCTAAGGCCAGGATGATTTTATTTTTCATCTTATAATCCTGCCAACTTCAAAATTTTGATTCCAAAATATAATACTAATAATAATTTACATTTCCACATTTTTTTTCTGATGCAGAATTTCATGTTTCCAAAAAAAATAATAATATGATTTCACTTTTTTTTTTATTTCCAAGATGGCATTTTGCATGCAAAATGGTGGATCTCAGTAATTATAAGGAAAACTTAAATATTGTGAGACATTCAACATAAACAATTAATTTGGATGAAACCACTGGTGACCTGATAGGCCAAACAATGAATGGAGACGAAACTGTCATGGGCAGAGGGTTTCAGACACCTAAATTACATGCACACTAGTAACTGATGTCACAATTTTATTTTTATTTGTTTTCCCTCCTCCAACTCATAGCTTCCTTGGAAAAGTTTTGTAAAAATAATATAAAAAAACTTGACCTAATAAAAAAGCAAAACAAGGTCTCATAGATTAATTTACTCTAATCCTGCCTTAAAGAAGTTCATATGCTGTGACTACTGAGAATTCCCACTTGTTTAAAAAATGAAGGGAAATAGGATATGTAAATAATTTGGCTCAATAAATAACATGTGCAAACCCACCAAAGGCTTAGGCTTACTGCATTTGCTAGCTAGGGTTAACACTGCTGAATTACAAGTTGCAAGTTGCACAATGCACTGTGTGACGGCACGTGATTTAGGTTATAACCATGTGCCATACTGTAGTGTATGACTAGTTTACTGTTTATCGGCACTACCTTACATTAGAAATTATGCAAAAAAGTTTTTAAAGGTGATTTTTCTCTAAAAATCTAATTGTTTCATTATATGTTACTTATGGAGTTCCCCTTGTTAATTTTTACTTACATGGGCACATTCACATCCTCCTCTAGAGCATTATCATGGGATACATTACATAACTTTTGTTTTAGAAAAGTATATTAACCACATCTGTGTTTGGAATGTTATACCACTAAGAAAAACAAAGTTTTCTCTAAAGATTTCTAGTTTTAAATACATAACAAAGTATTAAAATGTTTCATTTTTTTATTTATTGTGTACCTAACTATAAAAATGACACTGGAAGAGTTATCTATAAAAGAGGTAGTGAAATTACAATTTGAAGACTGGTTATCAGTCAACTGTTTCTTGCAAGCCATTTCTAATTTCTCTTTTTTTTTAAATAAATCCTTAACTGTCCTACAGCTCTGTAAATATTTGATGCTATTTGTTAAATTACTAAACATATAATATTTATTCCCAATTTCTCCTTTATATACTTTGTAAGACTGAATATAGTACCTGAATGGTAGAATAAAGCAGATTTAGGATAGGAACTTTCTGCTTCTGGCCATTTCACTTGAAAAAGAAAAACTGACAAAGCAGTACTTGTGTTATAAATTGTGTTATTGTTGTTATTTACACATGTGTAGTCCATGAGTTATAAGCTGTATTATAAATGTGATTAATGTAAATAAATATATAGCAGTAAAATCAAAATTCTTGTAACATGTTTTGATCAAATATCATAAATGGCTTCAGTAAAAAAGTAAAGTAAATCTTGCAAAATCTACTTGCTGAAAAATAGAGTTTTTGTTTGGGAGGGGAGAATCCTATCCCCCACATCCATCATTGAGGGAACTTATGAATACAATGCATGATATTTGTATTAGTATTAATAGACTTACTAAGTTTAATGATTAATTTTTTCTTTGAAAATTCTTTGTTTGTTGTAGCACAGGGAATCGAACCACAGATTTTAGTGTTGTAAATCTGTTAACTTACTGCTGTCCCACCGGGAGACTACTTGAAAATAATCTTTGTCATTAACTGAAATTAAATAACAAATTTTATCACAGTACAAGTGAAAGAAAATAATACCACTAGAAATTAACCTTCCACTTCACCATTAGGTTAAAAAGTTAAAGCCATTTGGGGGCCCCTCAGCTATGCCTAGGTTACCTAATCATGATTTTTAGCCCCATTAGTAAACCAATTAGAATTGATCTTCCCTGCTACCCTTTTCCTCTTTTTAGGAACAATTTAATTCTACAATTTTCTCATATCTTTCCCACATCAGCTTTTAGTTTTATTGAGCTCATCATCAAAGTTCACATTTCTTTTCTGAAAATTAGGAACTAACATTTAATTTTCATTTATCTCAATGTGTAGAAAAGCATCAAATTTAATTATGCAATGATCACTCTTCTTCAAAAGTTCCCACATCTGAATATTAGCAACTATGCCCTCATTAAATTAGTACTAATAGTAGTTAACAATAAAGCTAAAATGGAATCTTCCCCAATGATTGGTTCTCTGAACATTTGGTAAAAAAATCTGGTGTTACTTAAAAAGAAATCTCCCATAATTATTGCATCAGTATTCTAAATCTTACTATAGTATAAATGTAACAACACTAATTTCATTATACAATTTCTCATTGACTCATTTCTCTCATTAGGTGGCCTAAAAAATAATTATAAACTCAGCTCTAATAGTAGTACAGCTAGGGTATATTGATATTACTATTAGTATTTCTATAGTATATCTAAACTATAAATATAACCTAGTACCACAATAACTATTGACATTAATAACAGAAAAAGTAAATGGCAGAAAAATTAAGATACAGATATGATCAATATTTAACCTAGTTTTATCCTTAAAAGTTAAACTAAAACCTAATGCTTGTAAGTTGTATGAATTAAGGATTTAAAGATAATGATAAGATTAAGAATTAAACTTAAACACTAAAACTACGTTAAGTATTGTTAAAAACTCGTATCTTAATCGTTCTGCCATTTATTTTAGTTTTACTCCACAACTCTATACTAAGTATATATTAAGAATTTTAAATAAATAAATGAGCTCACGTTAAGATTTTTGTGAGATAGCGAGTTCTACTTTTATTTTGTTATGGTTTTGTTACCGTTTATTTATAATTTTTTCTATCGTTTTACGGTAGTTCAACTATAGACTTTTAGTTAAATTAAACTTTAAAGCACCATTTCACCTTCTATTTCTATCTGTAGCACGTTAATCCTGAGTAGGTATGTATTATAATTTCTTACAAAACTCACACAAGTTTCTCCTAGCGGTGACACACAGATATTAATGTTGTGAAAAATTATGTAGATTTATGGTAATAGCTAGTCACATGAGATATAATCAGTGGTGGGATTCAAATATTTTAACAAGTTCTCTCACTAGCAGCATGTAAAAATATTAGATATTAAAAAAAAGGAGGGACCAGAAAGATTACACTGAGAAAAT